GGACCGTGCTGCACAGTGCGCTAGACAACGATTTTACATGGCATCTTAATCGGCAGGCCGAGTTCATCACTACCAGCATTGCAGGCAACACTCCGAGATTAGACTGGCAAATGGCTAGGAAGCTGTTTCGTCTAGGAGGCAAGCGCCACAAAAAAATGCCTGTCTTCCCCATGCGCACCGGTCCTCTTGGCAAGCCGTTAGTCACGCCGCGGGAAGATGCGAACGACCTTCAGCGACACTTCGGTGGCATCGAGAAGGCTGTAACGGCCTCTTCCCTGGAGATAGTTCAAGAATGCCACGAGGGAGGTGCGTGCCTTCCCAGGGAAGCCCCCACTGGCCTTGAAAACATAGTGTCCAGACAATGGATTGTTCGGGAGTTTGGAAGAGCTAAGCGAGGGATGATTGGGGGGGCCAGATGGGAGCGGTAACGATTCGCTGGTAGTTGACCCTCGCCAGGCTCTACCACCCTGTGCCTGTCAAGGCGCGCGTCTCAGGGCGCGAACCTGCGATCTAAAACACGGCGAGGTGGTGAGTTCCTATACACGGAAAGGGGGCCAAGGACCAGCTTCTGCCCAGAGAAGCGCCTTGCTTGGCAACACGATTGCCAAGGTGCACCACAGAGTTGTTCGCCGTGGGGCGCGGCAAAGTGTTGGGGCCTGCCTCAAAGATACTCAATGCGGGGGGGCGGGGCCAAAGGGGGGAGCACGGGTGTTGCAACGCACGTCACACGGACGAGGCTCAGCGCTCAAGAAAGCGAGGGCCTCAGCTCAGCCGCATCACTTGTGGATCTCACCACGCCTTCTATAGCGTAGTCAAGCAGATCAGTTTGAAGCTGCCAGGCGAAGAACTGGATCTGATTGGAGCGATGAGAGACACTGATATACCAGAGGCCCTCTTCTTGGAGGTGAGAGCTTTGCAAAGCACACCCATGCTCGAAAGTTGCGTTGAAGACCCAAAACTGCAAGAACTAGTGAGCGAGACTCAAGCGGGAGGGTGGTTGAGACTTAGGAATGTTTCCTCATCTGTTCGGCCAGTGCTAGCCACCAGGCCTGGCACGGTCTTCGCGACGGACTCGCTCAACGTTGCGTTCGAACCAATCACCACTGAGATCAAGAATCGCATGCAAACCCGTGGACTGGCGCGGCGGCCAGACCAGCGATCATGCCACATAGCTATGCCAGATGACTGGCACAAATGCAATGATCGCACCCCGATTGCACCCCGATTGCTGTCATGAGAGACCCTCGTCAGGCCAGCAATAGCTCTGGGGTATTGCTGGACATGTTTTACGAGGCTGTTTCTAGATTTAGGCTTAGGCTCAATGCTAGCAAGACCTATCTCGTCCGCATTATTATTGGGAGGCTTCTAAAAAATGAAACCAGAGTTTGCCAATGAGGAAGGACATGTCAAAATTTTGCCTCCCAAACATGGCCTCCAGGTGGAAGTGGTCAGCCAAATCAAAGGGCTGGGCACCATGCTCTCCCAAAATCTGTCCCCGAGCGTAAGGATCTCGAGCAGGATCGGCAGCATGAGAAAGGAGCTCCGACCTATTCAGGTTGCCCTGGGGCGTCGGGAAGGGCTGTCGGTGGCTGTCAAGGCCAAGTACCCGGACGCCTATGCCATGTCCAAGCTGTGGTTCAATGCGTGTGCATGGGAGCCGTTAACAAGAAAAACGCACAAACATATTGCCTATGATCAGGCTGCTGCCTACAGGGCCACTCTCGGGATGCCTCGGTCTGGGAAAGACGAGACCCACGATTCTCACAACCCAGTGCTGCTTCGAGTAGGACGCTTGGGGCGCCGAACTGTCTTACGTGTGGCGAGGCTCAGATATCTCACCAGACTCTTGTCCAGCGCTCCCGCGGGGCTAGGAGTTGCTCTCAGCTACCTACGGGGCGTAGTCTCCAGCTGGGTAGGAGAGATCAAATCAGACTTCAAGTGGCTGAACCAGGCCACTAGCAGAAAGGATGTCCCTGGCTCTGGCGAGGATGACCATTGGTTCACTGGCTCGAGCTGGCGAGGGCTGAACCAAAGATTTTCAGGAATCGTATCACTGAAGGAGCCAAGAGAGAGCTTGTTTTGCAGCAGCAAGGTCAGCTCGCAGAAGGGCTTCAACATGCGTGGAAGGTGCTGGGGGTTCAGGCCGCCAGTGCTGCGAGGGAACACGGGGAGGGGAGGGTTCGCCAAAAAAACACTCTTGTTTGTTACGGGCGTCGTTACCCCGCCCCGCCGGTCAGAGGACTAAATATTCACAAGGAAAAGCTCCATAAGAATGCTATTGATGCTTGCAACTGGATCATTGGCACCAGCGGCCAGGCTTGCATGTGTGAGTTGCACACCAGAGGTCGTCTGGTCAAACGCCTGAAGCAGCAGGTGACGTGTTGCATTGCGTGGAGGGGTTTGTGACAATGCTGACAAGGAGAGAAAGTGGAGGAGGAGATTGCTATGAGCCTCAGGCTTCAGGCGTCGAACAGGAAATGGGGAAAACACGAATATCATGTTAAGAAAGCTGCCTTTAAGTTGATTGGACTGCCGGTGGCTCCGAAGGGTCCCAAGCCTGCCCGAGGAGAAGTGGAGGCTCCAGCTGTGCGCGTGCAAGTTGACAGCAGTGTAGCGCCTGTTCCAAGGCCTGCTCATGTACGCTTCGGTTTTTCTATGCTTGGGTTCGGACCAGAGGCACTCACTCGATTGCTTTAGCTGCTTGGAAAAAGCCAGAAGAGACAGCACGGAGCATATTGTGACTGCTCAGCTGAATGCTCATACGTGGAGTGCGAATGACACCAGCTTGTGGGTTGTGAAAACTCTTGGAGGCAAGGTCTCTGGAGGCATTGTCTTTCTCCCGCGGATCCAGGGGACTCAAACTTTTTCGGATAAAACTCTCAGGTCGTGTGAGGAACCGTGGGGCAGGGCGCAGCTCAATGCCAGAGAGGGAGAGGTGGCTGCGGATCAAAACTTGGTTCTGAGGGGTGTCGGGGGTTCTGGCTTGCGCGGCTAAAGCTGCTAAGGTCCCTTGGGTGCTCGTGGGGCCTCAGAGGCTTGGAAGGGGTCTCGAGTGGAAGGACTTCCCAGGGTTCCAGGACCTCACGAAAAAATATGAGGTGCACACGCACCAGATCGAGACGTACGCATTCACAAGACTGATGGACTGGGAGCCTGTTGGGATGTTAAGGGTTCGCCTACCGCAGATGAAGCCTAGACTGCCGGGAGTGGGTGGCTGGAGGTGTCGTGGCACGCATGCTCATGTTGTTGCGGATGAACGCAGGGAACCTCACTCTTGCTCTCTTCTCACTGTCTTCTATGAGGTGGTGTGACGAGCCTTTCTGGATGAGTTGCAGCGGATGTCTCTCGAGCAGTTGTGTGATGAGGAGCAGATTGCACATGTGTCGGGGGCGCGGGTCTGTGCACCGCTGGGTCAGTATCTGCTTGGCGACTGAGTCGCTCACATTCAGCGGCGACGGGTGAAGGTTCCCGCTTGACCCCTTATGTCTAACAGTCCTTGACCTGCTGCTGCCTCTTTGTTCCTTTTTCCTTGCTCCATCTACTTCAGCTTAGGGGAGGCTGCAGATTGGCCTTAAAGCTCTGTGCTGCACTGTACTGAGAAAGAGGAGGAGGAGAAGGAGGAGGAGGAGAAGGAGGAGGAGGAGATGGAGAAGGAGGTGGAGGTGGAGGAAGAGGAGGATGGGCTCAGACAGTTAGGTGCAACGACGGGGGCTCATTGGTAGAACCCCTGGACAGGGCTGAACGAACGGGGGAACCCGACTCAAGACCAAGGAGGCTGGTCCGTTGGCTGGGTGTCTTTGACCTCCATCCTCACCCTTGCCCTTCCCAGCGATCCAAACTGATCTGGGCACCGAGGGGAAGGCACCCGGACAGGGAAGCGAACTTGGTGGGGCAATGGTCCCCTGGTTACGACATGATGTATCGGCCACAGGCGGGGGACAATCCTTGGTGGGGGGCTTGCACGTTACACGGCCCAGTGGTTCCATCGATGGCGTCAGGTTCCCACATGTGCGAGAGCGTGGGAACCTGCTGCCACATCCACTGACTTAGAAGGGGCGACCAGCACGCCAGCTCCCCTTTCCGGCGCTGCCCACCTGGCCTTCCCTGGCCCCTTGTCCCGATACTGGGGGGCGGAGAGGCGACAGGAGAAGGAGGACGAGGAAGGAGGGGGAGGTCGAGGGGGAGGGGGAGGGCGGGGGAAGGGAGAGGGGAGAGGAGGAGGAGGAGGAGGAGGGAGGAGGAGGAGGAGGAGAGGAGGAGGAGGGGGGGGGGGGGGGGGGAGGGGGGGGAGGGGGGGGGGTGGGAGGGGGAGGAGGAGGAGGAGGAGGAGGAGGAGGAGGAGGAGGAGGAGGAGAAAGAGGAGGAGCAGGAGAAGCAGGAGGAGGAGCAGGAGAAGCAGGAGGAGGAAAAGGAGCAGGAGGAGGAAGACGAGGAGGGGATACGGATACGGAGCTGTCGACGGTGCTGAGCTCCACGCTCAACATCCACAGTGCTAATTCGCGCCCTGCTTGCATCAGCCGGTAAGTGGCGGAGGGACGTAGGGGAGAACCCAAACCCACAGGGAAACGCCCACCTCCCCAACAGGCCGTCCAGGGGAAAGGGGCGCAAGCATCAGGGCGTGAAGCGGCAAGAGTTGCATCGAGATTTCAAGGTTTGCTCGCCGCCAGCTCGCGGCATCCAGGGAAGGGGGTACCCGGGCCGTGCAACCACGCCAACGCACCCGCCACGCGCGGCCAGGAGGAGGAGGAGGAGGAGGAGCGAGAGGTGGAGGAGGCGGAGGAGGAGGAGGAGGCGGAGGAGGAAGAGCGAGAGGTGGAGGAGGAGAGAGATGTGGAGGAGGAGGAATGCAACAGGGCCGAGACCTAATGCTTGTCATGTAACAATGGAAATGGTGGACAACACTGCTTAGCCAGCATGGGAGGCGAAGCCAGGAGCCAGAAGACAAGAGCCAGGAGGATGAGGTAGGCAGAGGAGGACCAGCGGCAGGAGCGGCGGGGGGCCTGCGCGGCGTGTGCGGCCGCCGACTGCTGCCCCCACATGCTGCCGTAATCCATGCCGTAGTAGGGGAACGACCAATAATAGCCAGGGTACCTCCAGGAGGAAACGCAAGGACGAGGAGGAGGAGGAGGAGGAGGAGGAGGCGGCGAACGACGCTGACGACGACCATGCCGCCGCCGCCGCCGCCGACGCCGCCGCCGCCGACGACCGCCACGACCACCACGACGACCACGACGACGACCACGACGACGACGACGACGACGACGACGACGACGACGACGACGCCGACGCCGACACCGACGCCGACGTCGACGCCGACACCGAAGCCGACACCAGCGACGGCGAAGGCAACGGCGACGGCTGGCGGCGACGACGACAAAGCCCCCGCCGACGGCGGCGGCGGCGACGAATTGCGGACGCCCCGGGGCACCCCTGAGCAGGCGCGGGCTGCTGGGGGCCCGCGGCCGCCTGGACGCCGGTGGAGGCGGGGGTTGCGCCTCCGCGCGGGCGGCGCTGTCGCCGCCGCCGCCCGCCGTCGTCGCTCCTGGAAGGAACCGACTGTGATCGAATCCCACCAGCCCTCTGGGCGCAGGTAGTCTAGAGCGTTTCTTTCTCCAGCCTCCTTCCTTTCCCTGCTCGGGAGACTTACCTCCCCCCCTGAGTCTGGACGGGGTCCCCCGCGAGGGGTTAGAGCGTCCAAGATGGCCCTAGATATCTTCAATAGGGCTTTAGCTAGCCCAAGATGGCCTCCAAGAGGCCTCCAGACGGCCCCAAGACGGTTTCAAGTGCCCTCCGAGCCCTCCAAGGATTCCCCCAAGAGGCCAAAATGGGTTCAAAACCAAAGGAAAATCCATGTTTGGGGCCTTTTCGCATTTTCGCTTCCGATGGGCTCTTGAGGCGTCAAGATTGCCCCAAGATGGCCCAACATAGCCCCCAGAGAGGCCCGAGAGGGCCCCGAGACGGCCCCAAGGGCGGCCCAAGAGCGATCCAAGAAGGCCCCAAGACGCCCTTTTTGGGCCTCCGAGGGGGGGGGGCGTAAATTTACGACCCCTCTCTTTTTAAGCGAAGGGGTCCTAGATGGCCCCAAGAGGCCTCCCAGACCCCCCCAAAGATCCCCAAGAGGGTCCAAAGACCCTGCAATGACCCTGCCCAGACCCAGCAATGACCCTGCAAACACCCTGCAATATCCAACCTCCTTCCTCCCCTGCTTGGGAGGTGTACCTCCCCCCCCCCCCTCCCTGGGCGTGACTCATAGCAGCGTCCAAGACGGTCCAAGACGGGCTTTCTGGCCCAGGGTACTGCCCACCCAGTTTTCATGCTTCCAAAACGGCTGTGCGACCGCGTGCTTCTAGGCGTCCCTGATTACCCGACTCGCCTGGTAATCGTTTCTAAATGGGCTGGTGGGAAGTTTTGGTCCGCGGGCGCGCGAAACGAGTCGAACGCCGAGCCTGCTGCGGCGGGCCGCGCTGGTAGCGAAGGGAAAAACAGTGAGCGAAGCGAAGCGTCAAGAATTTTGGGTCTGTCGTCGCCGTCGCTGCCAGCCGCCGCCAAGGATCGAGGTTGGCGACCCTCGCGGGCACGGCTGGATGCACCTCGAAATTCTGGCCAGGTCTGGGAACCAGTCGTCGTCGCCCGCATGGTCCGATTTGTTTGAGTCGTCGCTTGAGTTGCCAGAGAGGAGGGCAAGGCTTCGTCGGCCGAAACGTGGACGCGCCGACTTCAAAGGCACGGGGCTGAGAGCGCCGTGCGAGTAAGGTATGAGGAGGAGCGAGGGGGGAAAGAAGAGGGGAGAATGAGGGGGAGGGTGAAGCAGGAGGAACCCGAAGCGGAAAGTACGTCGAGTGGAGGAGAGGAGCAGGAACAGCACAACGATGAGGGGGATGATGAGAAACATAGCACAAGAGGATGCAACGCGCATGGCATTCAGACAATGAGAGCCAGGGGCTAAAACGAGATAGATGAGGAGACAGAGGAAGACGACGATGACATGACAAGGACGAGGAGGACGATACGCACTAAAGCAGAAGAGGAAGACGAATGGGAATATAAAGACATGGCTGAACAGACGAGAGGCAATTTATGTATTTATACATACATACATGCATAAATACATGCATGCATGCATGCATGCATGCATGCATGCATGCATGCAGACAGACAGACAGACAGACAGACAGACAGACAGACAGACAGACAGACAGACAGACAGACAGACATATGTATATGCAGTGCAGCGCAATCGCAAAATGCGAGCAGCCATGAATACGATGACACCTATTCCACGATAGTCAATAGTGCAGGAGAAGCATTCCCAAAACCTCGGCGACACCCACGGCGACAACAGAGCGACAATCGATACAATGCCAATGACGAGCAAAATGGAAGCGAGAAGAAAAGTAAAGGGAAAGTGAATTTGGAAAGAGGGAAGAGGGGCAGGGAGGATCAAGAAAAGGGCGGAAGGAGGGAAGGAGGGAGGAAGCAGGAGGCAGGAGACAAGAGGCAAGAGGCAGGAGGGGGAGGACGGAGAGAGGACTGAGGAGGGAGGAGGGCGGAGGCTGGCGGTCGGAGGGAAGAGAAACGAGGGAAGAGGGGAGATGGGAGGGCTGGGGAGGAGGCCTTTTCCCAGCGACGGCGCGCGGCGAGCGCGGAGACCTGAGCTTCGGGGGCGCAACGGCCCCCGCAGAAGGCCGGCTCGCTCCCGCAGTTCCGCGCGCAGGGGCCCGGCAGCGCGGCGCTCGGCCGCACGGGACGGGCCCGAAGGCGCCCGCGACGGTCTCGTCCGCCGGGGCCTCGCTCAGCATAGGGGGCCAGATGTGAACCCTACCCCTGCCCCCCACGATTTCTGAGGGGGAGGGTGGGGTTCACTTCGTTCGGGAGCTCCCCAGCGAAGTGAACCCCACCCTCCCCCTCAGAAATCGTGGGGGGCAGGGGTAGGGTTCGCATCTGGCCCCCTATCAGCAGCTGCCTCCCGGGCAGGACCGCGTCGACCCGCGCGAGCCCAGGGCCCAGCCTGCGCAGAGCGCACACCTGCACCACGCCGTCAAGGCCTGGAAACGGGCCGCCCGGACCCCCGGCACCTCAGGCATCTGACGTCGCGCTCTTTCCCGGCGTGGCCCCAGGAAGGTCTGCACCCCTTCCCTCCTTGGCCGGCGTTCCGTCCGGAGTCGTCTTGTGCCGGTCCCAGTCTGCCCGGCGAGGACCCCCACGGGCCGAAGACGGCCAAAACCCTCCCGTCGTGCGTTTTTCATGGCGCGGGGACGTCGAGGATGGTGCGGCATCTGCGCCCTCCTGGCTGAGGCCGGGAGGGTCCGTGCACCGCCCTGGGGCCAGGAAGTGGCCCTGACCGGGCGCGATGGTTGACTCGCCTCGAGCTCATCCCCGCCCCTACGATTGGCAAGCCCCAAGGCGATGACCATCTCGGCGATGCGCCCTCAGAAACGGAGGGCATCCCCGGAGTCGGCCTCGAGGTGAGGCTTCTGTTCGAGGCTGGTCACCAGTGGTGTGCAGAGGTGCCCTCCCTGCGCGACGGTCGGCCTCCAGGCGGCCGCGCACGTCCGCGAGCAGGGCGTCAAGCGGCGCCCCGACCGGACAGCGCTCCTCCCCACCGAAGGTCAGGAACCGCACCGAGGCGCCCTCGAGCGACGCCTGCAGGTGGCGACATACGAACCCCTGCCCCCACCAACAAACGATTCTCCCGAATCGATGGGAGGCTGGGGTAGGGTTCGGATTTCGCCACGCGTTCGACGACTCACGGACTCTGCCCTCGGGAGCGGCCAAGAGGGGGGTGTCCAAGAGGGGGGGTGTCCAAGAGAGGGGTGTCCAAGAGGGGGCGCCCCCGATACCCCCGCCGCCCACCGAGTTGCCTGGATCGTTGATCGGCGACGGTGGGGTTCGGATCTCGCCGCCGGTCAGGCCCTCGGGCGGCGCGGGAGGGTCGCACTGGCAGGAGCCCTTGCTGCCGCAGGCCTGGGCCGACCCATCGCTCCTGAGCAGGATCGTGTGGCGTGCTCCGGCTGCGGCATGGGTGCAGGTTGAAGTCGGGCGTGTCCCCCTACAGGGGGATTTTCGACGAAAAATCAAACATACTCCAAAACGGACAAAAATACTCAAAAAATAGTCCCCAGACTATTTTTGACTGTGTTTGAATATTCCCCCTGTAGAGGGACACGCCCGACTTAAGTGTAGGTGAGGCTTCCCTCGAGCGCCGGAAGCTCGCGCTGGCCGTCAGCGTTGAGGCCGCAAGCCACGGCCGATCCATCGCTCCTTAGCAAAACCGTGAGGACCTCTCCAGCTGCGACCTGGGTGTAGGTCAGGCCCCCCTCGAGCGCTGGAATGTCGCACTGACCGCCAGCGTTGCCGCCGCACGCCACGGCCGACCCATCGCTCAAGAGCAGGACCGTATGCTCTCCAGCTGCGACCTCAGTATATATCAGGCCTCCCATGGGCGCTGGAAGATTGCACTGCTGATCACCGTTCTGGCCACATGCCACGGTCGACCCATCGTTCCTAAGCAGAAATGTATGGCTCTCCCCAGCTGCGACCTGGGTGTAGGTCAGACCTCCCACGTGCGCTGGAAGGTCTCATTGGCCAGAGAAGTTGCGGCCGTAAGCCACGGCCGACCCATCGCTCAAGGGCAGAACAGTGTGAGACCATCCAGCGGCGACGTAGGTGTATGTCAGACCTCCCTCGAGCGCAGGAATGTCGCGCTGGCCAAACTCATTGGGGCCGCACGCCACGGCCGCCCAACGCCCCTGAGCAGAACCGTGTGCAATGCTCCAGCGGCGACGTGGGTGTAAGTCTGACCTCCCTCGAGCGCCGGAATGTCACACTGGCCAAACTCGTTGAAGCCGCACGCCACGGCCGCCCCATCGCCCCTCAGCAGGGCCGTGTGACCACTGCCTAATCCCTGGCCTCCGGCGGCAACCATTCCAAGCCGACCAGCCAAAACTGCGGGAGGCTGCTCCTTCAACCCCCTGGAGAACCCATTGTCTCGACGACCTTTCGAGAGGGTTGTCGACGCCCATGGTCTGGACAAGTAAGACAATCTGCACCCCTTCCGGGGAAACCTTGGCTCCCACCTGAGAGAGGCAACGCTGGATAAGCTAGCTCACCCTGCCCCAGCGTCGGACAACGATGGGGAGGGGCGGAAAGGGCCGGCAAGGGCCGCAGATCCCCCACTAGTGGCCCGTCTGCCAGGTGCAGGCGGCGACAGGCCCGCGGCGCACTGCGGAAGGGCGGGGGGCTCTCGGGCTCAGGCGCTGGCGCCGGAGCGACCGCGGAGAAGAGGGGGCGCAGGAGGGCCAAGGAGGGCGCTCTGGCACCTCCGAGAGAAGAAAAGCGCGGCGCCCGTCTAAGCCTCTCTTCCTCCCCTCCCGTCCTCGCTTCCCACTTCTCTCTCTCTCTCTCTCTCTTTCTTTCCCCCATCCCCATAACCCCACCAGCCCTCGAGGCTTAGGTCGTTTTTAACGCGTTTCCTCTTCCAACCCCCTTCATCTCT